CTCTAACATTCTGTGATTCTGTGACCCAATGAGTAGATCTTCAAACTACAGGAGACTTTTTTTAATGCCTGATTTCATAATTTAGGCAAAAGATGGTCTGAAAAGCAAGTCCTTTGTCCTGATTTCTGCTTGTTCTCTTCCTTCCTTTTTTTGCTCCCTCATTTTTGTCCTGTCTCCCTTCCCCCAGACAACCATCTTGAACAAACACCTCCAGAGTCTGATGGATGGTTTGACTGCCAAAGTGTTCAGGACCTACAATGCCTCCATCACCCTGCAGGAACAGCTCAAAGCACTCACCAACTGTGAGTTACTAACAGTGTTGGTGGGACCACTTGTTGCTTTGTGGGGCTCAGAAATTGCCTCAGGGCCTCAGGTCCATCCATTGCCTCAGGGTCCCTAGAACTTCCTGCCTCTCCTTGGCAAGGTCATACACCATGTTGTAGGATGGTGTGCAACTTATGGAGTCATGCAGCAGGTTGGGAACCATGCCAAGTGGGAAATAGTTACCTGCTCAGCAATAGTCAAGATGGGAGTAATTTTTTTCCCCTTTCCTTGCATTGCGGGTTTATAATGCTTTTTATATATGGTTGGTTGCATTATTTTTGCCTGCCTTGGATACACAAGTGATGAGGCACAGTATCAGATTTAGTGATGCTCAAATGTTCTTCACCAATTTCCACAACCAGTATTGCTCTCCCCTGGGAAAGGATGGGAAAGGCAAACAACTTGCTGTTGCTCTGGTCTGTTCCTTGCCTTCTCCATCTCCTAGAAAGCAGAACAAATAGTGATGCTTCAATTTCTAGCTGAAGACAATGTTGCGGGAAAGCTGCTCTCCTACAACCGAGCTAACCGAGCTGTGGCCATCCTGTGCAACCATCAGAGGTCCCCACCAAAAACCTTTGAGAAGTCCATGCAAAACCTCCAGACTAAGGTGAGAAAGACCAAACTGAGAGCCCCCAGACCTGATCTCCCCTCTGATCTTCTTTTGTGTGGGACAAGGGAGAGTGAATATCCTGATGCCTGAAGAGGTCACATTGATCCAATGTGGCTTTTTAATCGGTGCAGAGACATCAGCAACCCAGGGGTGGAGAGGGATGAGGTAAGATCAAATGCTGGATGCAGAACACTTAGGTTTTGATCTCTGTCTTCAAACCAAACCAGGTGCCTTTTGCAATGGCACAGCTTTAACACTGTTGGCTCAGGACCAGGGAAATTGGTTTTCCCATCTGGCTGGCTGCAGGAAGACCAAAAGAAATTTCCATGAGCTATGGAAGTACCTCAAAATACCACTTTTAATTGTTCTCAGCTTTTGCTCACACTCTGCTAGTGGGCTCCAGCACTGTCATGAGCCAGTCAGTCTCAAGCCATTGCACAAGATGAACAGATAAAAGCTGCAAATGTTCCTGATCAATACTGTGAGGAACTTTCGCAAGATGCTAAGAAAAGCTTGAGCTCCAGTAGGTGCTTCAGGGGCAAGTTGTTAGGACTGGAGTAGGGCTAGTGAGAAATTGGAGCAGTGTGGCAAAGGAAAGGGAGAGAGGGAGACAGCTGAAACATCCAAGGAGGACGGGAGCATGGGCTCACTTTGTATTTACCTTCACAGATTGATGCCAAGAAGCAACAGGTGGAGGAAGCCCAGCAAGAGCTGAAAAAAGCCGAAGATGAATTCAAAGAAACTAAAGATGCCAAAGCAGAAGCGTGAGTGACTCTTCCTTACAATCTTCTTTTGCAGAGGGTCTATGGATGGGGATGGTGTGGTTCAACACCCTGTGTGCAGCTCATCAGAACTCACATGCCCTCGTTGGGTACCAGGTGCCTCCTGTCCCATGGTGACCTGGCAGATGGGTAGAGGTCTTGAGGATGGTTCCTTGCAACAGTAGGACTGTGAAGAGCTCCTTCAGGAGGATTTCTTTGTGATGGGGCACACCTGACTGAATACTGAGACTTCAACCCAAGCTGCTGACTTGGAATTAACCTATAGATGCCATGGTGCAAAGAATGCCTAGCTTGAGATTGGAGCTGGGGATCCACAGACTGGCCTTGATGCATGTTTTGCTTGTGGGATGCTTGAGTGGTGAATTGGGACATACCTGTGATCTATGCAGTAGCTATTGCATGAGGTCTGTCCAAATTTGCTCCTCCCTGATGGAGACCAATAGTGACTTTGTGCCCAGAGAGGAGAAGGCTGGAGGATAGAAACAAGGTTACATTTTATGTTTTACTCTGGAGTTTCTGGTTTTATGCTCACTTCTTGTGTTGCTGAGATGTACAGCAGGTTGTCAGAAAAAATAATTGTCTGTGGAGCCTGGATTTGAGGAGGTGGTCTTTGGGTGCTGGCTTTTGTGCTTGCCTCACTTTGTTGATAACAATTCTATTTTTTAAAAGTGTCTTATGAGGTCAATGTACTTGGGAAATGGGTTAGTGCTGAATGGCATCTTCTGCTTTGCCATTCTGAGGTATTTCTAGGCTCAAGCCTTATAAGACTAAAGGCAAGTGCAGAGGCTGCTCTGAGATGAAGCTTGGTGGCTTCCCATTGTGGTCCCAGGCAGCAGCAGACCAGAAATATTCTTTATCTTGCTTCTGCTCCTTCTTACCTTTAACATGGTGTCTGTGTTGCTCTTCCTCTACCCTCAGTAACGTGGAGAAGAAGAAGAAGCTATTGAAGCGGCTGGAAGAGCAGCTGTCCAAGTTGAACATCCAGGCCACGGATAAGGAGGAGAACAAGCAGATAGCTCTGGGCACATCCAAGCTGAATTACCTGGACCCCAGAATTACTATAGCTTGGTAAGTCTCGGTCATGCTATGGGACAAACATTCCTTTAGAGATCTGCAGATCACCTAGCACTGCCTGGGGAGGGGGATAAATACATGCTTGAGCCTTTGGGGGAAAGGTATACATTTTTTTCTGCCCAGAGAAACTCACCCAAGGTTTGGAGGAGGAGAAAATCCAAAGCTAAGGCTTCCCTTGCTCCAAATGACTGTTTGCAGGATGTTCCTTCTGGGTTTAGGGCAAGAAAGGGTCACTTTGCAGATCTTTATCAGCAGTGGCACTGTTGCAGTTTTACATAACAGCCGCTCAATCACCCTCTATTCTCCCGGGGCTGGGGGAGAGAATTAAAGGGAAAAGACCTGTGGGTTAAGAACAATTTAATAACTAAACTACAATAATATTGGAAATAATAACGATGATAATAGTAATATATACAAATCAGTGACACACAGTGATACTGCGCACCACCTGATGACCAAAGCTCAGCCCATTCCTGGCCAATGATCCCAGAGAAGGGAGAGTCACAAAATCTCAATCCCAGAATGGAGATAAGAGCCTGAGTGTCCAAGAGAACGAGAAGACCCTGAGAGAGGGGTGATCCAGAGAGAGACAACCCAGAGCAAGCGAGAACTTCTGTACAGAGCCTCAACTATATAGTGGGCATGCTGTGCAAGATATGGAATAGACCATTGGCCAATTTGGGTCTCAGTCCTAAACCTAAGATCAAATCCTGGGCTGGGAACTGGGGCTGTGCTCCCTCTCAGCTTCTCCTGCCCCTGCAGACACTGGCCCAGCAGAGAAGCTGAAAAGTCCTTGACTGTCCTGGCAGAAACTCCAACCATCAGTGTGTGATCAGCTTCTCCTCAGCATAAATCCAAACACAGCCTCTCGCTAGCTGCTGTGAAGAAAGTTAACTCTGTCCCAGCTGAAACCAGGACAGGCACAAAGTTAATTAAGGAGCTTGGGGATAAGGAGTTTGCATGGGTGAAAGATGCAGCATCCTGAGCGGAGATGACTGCTGTGGTGGGAGCAGAGTGGGATGGGTAGCATATCACCACTGCTGTCTTGTGGTCTGCACAGGTGCAAGAAGTTTGGTGTGCCCATTGAGAAGGTCTACAACAAGACGCACAGGGAGAAGTTTGCCTGGGCGATCGACATGGCCGATGAGAACTTTGAATTCTGAGAGAGTGCCTTTCATGTGACATCATGCTCATTTGGTGCTGTTGGAAAGTTTGGTGGTTTTTTACATGCTGCTGCATGCAGTTGCAGCAGTATGCCTGGTAGGGGGTTTGTCTAATGAAATAGTTTGATATGGGTATTTTGTGCCTTTTTTTGTATACAAAAGAAAACACATAATTTCTAGTTGAAACAGGTATTGCTGACTTGTGACACTCATTCTGACTATAGTGACTTTGATGTGAACTTTTAGTTCCTCTTCAGAGTTGCCAAGCACTTTGGATCTTTTCTTTCTTCCTCCTGGAGTCTGAGAAGAAGATTGAATGAGAGCCTTAATTGTGCTGATAAACAAGATTAGATCTAATCTGTTTCCTTCATAAAGTGGAGCTGTGCTGCCCTTTTCAGACTCTGAATTGGCCTTGATGGGGAAACATAAAGCAATGACAGCAGTGAAACAGGCATCTGCAGTGTAAGACCTGGGCTTGGGTCAGAAATGCACTGGGAGGGGGGAAAAATATATATATTATATATGAGTTTTAAATATCAGGGTATTTTGTGCTCTTTTACCTCCAGGAGAGGCGAAAATTGTGCAATTGCACAAACATAAACAAAATGGAAGAAAAATGTTGTGGGAGGGACTGAATGTCATAGCAGGAGAAGGAGGGAGGGGAAGATGCTGGTTTAAAAAGCAGGTTTTGCATTGGAGGGATGAAATTCATCTTGGCATGAGCAAATTGTACTTTATCAGCCCTGGTGATTTTTAAACCTTGGTCTGGGAGAGGACATCTCATTTGGGGCCATACTTTTTTTTTTCTCCCACACACTTTGGCTCAGCTCACTTTATCTATAGCAGAAATTAAAACTGTCCAGCCACAGATTTAGCGATGCTTGTGGTGGGGCTGGACCAGGTTCCAGTAGGATGTGAGCATGCTGGGGAGTGGGTACCAATCTTGCTGGAGCTGTGCCTGTGTTGGAATGACAGCTTTGTTGCCAGGCTGCATCCTCTCCAGTTTGCTGCTGCCTGGCACGGAGCAGCCAGGGAGCAACTGCTGGTGCTTGCTGCCTAATTGGCTGCTTTTCAGAAGGAAAAAAAAAGTGATATCAGCATGTACCTGGCAACACTTAGCTTACATACCAGTGAATCTCAGGTGTAAGCAAGCTGTTGCATTGGCAGCAAAGCCTTTTGGCATCTCAGGGATGATATTCAGGTCGCTATAGTCCAAAGCTCTCAGTGCTTCCCATGTGTTCATTTACAGACACTTGTTCTTGTGTTCAAACTATTGTTGTTTTGGTTGGAAGTCAGGTGTTTGAAATGCATTTCATTAAAACCTGAAGTGTTGGGTTTTTTTTCTGAACATCAGTGACAGGATGCTTTTTGCAACTCATCCAAGATGTGGTTCTGCTGTGAGCTGATGTGCAGAGCTTGGACCCAGGGCTCAGTCTCTATAACGGGGTCTGTGTATGTTCAGTTGTCTGCAGTGGATTAAGCTTGATAGGAAATCCTTTGCCTAAAGCAAAGAGCCTTCCTGCAGATCTCAAAAACCATTTGTGCTTGGTCCATAAGGGCCTGTATGCAAAACTGAGACACCAAAATAGAATTGTTACATGATAGCAGAGTCATGACAAATGTAAGGGGAAAATGCACAGGTGAAGCCAATGTTTTATCTCATATCCACATTGGAGTGTGCTCCACCACTTGACTGTGACATGACAGCTTGTGAAACTTTAATTGGACTGTCTCTCTAAGCCCCAAGAGCTTGTGTTGGTTTTAATGAGTCAACTGATGCCTAAAACAAGCCTGAATGATGGCAAGATTATTTTTTTTTCTGGCAAAGGTAGACCAGTTATCAGCTGCATGAGCTGCTAAACATGCCTTGACTTGTGTTGGATTTGTACCTCTGAGACAGAAGTAACCAGTTTGGTCCCAATGGATGGAGATGTTTTTTTTTCTGCCCACCCTTGTAAGTGCAAAAGAGGTTAAAGTGAATATTCGTCACTAACTGTGATGGAAAGTTTGTTCCACCTCAAATAAGGGAGTAATTCTAGCCAAGACCCTGGTGAGACAGTGCTCCTGTTTTCCAGGAGCAAGATGCAATTGTATGAGCACTGTGGGTGCTTCCATTGAACCAATAGATTTTTAAGTATTTCCTAGAGGAAAAAGTGTCTCAAGCACCCTGTGAGAGAAAGAGCTGCATTAGTAAGAACAGCTGCTGGGGGAGCAGTAGAAAAATCCACCTAGAAAGCAAATCCTACAGCAGCTTCGGGGGGAAAGCAGTAACTTGGTCGAGCCTTTCCTCCAGGAGGTTCCTGTCAGTGCTGTGATCTGCTTCTGGGTTAATGGGGTGGAAAGGCTGGATAATTCCTTTCCCACATGGTCCTGTCCATCCTCATTCTGTTTTTGCTGGGGTGGTGGATCCACAAAGTGGGGTGCTGGCAATATTTCATGCTTACAGGGCTGTGGTTTCCTCAACAGCTCCCTTGTGTCTATCAAAGCATCCTGTTTATCTCCAAAAGGCCGTGCTTGGAGCAAAGTTGATGTGGTTCAACTCCAGTGAGAGCTCAGATAACGAATCTGGAGGCTTTATGTTTGCATCTTGTGCTGCAGATGAGGAGGACCAGGCTGGCAGATGGCTTCTGTGCAATACCGAAGGACTCGTTGGCCATGCTCGGATGTTCTGGATGTCAGGGCTGCAAAGACCTGCCAGTGTCAGCTAAATAGTAATTAATGGTAATTCTCTAGGAGCATAAATGAAGCATCCTTTCCCCAAAGGGTGTTACCCTGGGTTGTGTTGCCCTATAAACCAGTTCTATGGGGTTTGACCACTTCTGTCAAAAAGCTTAGTGAAACCAAGGTTGGAAATCCAAATACATGGGAGGTATGAAGCAAAAGCAAGGTGGAAAGTTCATGTGTTTTGCCATGTATCAAATAACTCATCCTGGGGTGAGTAACACAATGTGTCTGAAACAACTAAGCTTTAGAGAGATGATGATAAGTCTGGGGAGTGTCCTCCTGGCCCTTGGCCACAAGCAAGTGAGATACAGGTTGGAGAAGTTGAGTTACTCTTGACATTACAGTGGCATGAAGCACAGTCTGGCCTAATGCCCAATCTCACAGGGATTTTCCACTGCTCAGAACCTTGTGGAACAGGATCATGCCCCTACTGCAGACATCTCTGAGAGTAGGATCCCTCTCCCAGACAAGCCATTTGGGGTTATTTGGCGACCCCAAGCAATACTGACATACTCAGGTGAACTCTGCCTCCCTTAGCCCTTCCAGGGCTGTTTTCAACTCAGCTTCAGGTGGGCCAAGGCAAATGTCATGAAACTTAACAAGGCCAAGTG